GCTCCCGGTCTCCCTGAGAGCCTGTTCCTGCCCGAGTGGGCCATCTGGGCCGGGCCCTGGGGACATGAGGAGACACCCAGGTGGAGGACGGGGCTGTGGAACCCAGGCCTCCTGGATTCTGTCTGTGCCACAGAATCCCCTCTGGCCCGTGGTTCCTGGCCCCGTGCTAGCCCCAGACTGTGCCTGGGGGGGAGGCAGGGGCCCGGGATGACGGGTATGTTTATGGCAGGAGGGGTGTCCGGTTTGCTGAACTGACAGGTGGGAGAAGAGGGTATAGGCAGGCCCGGAGGAAGATGGTGCAGAATTAGGAAAGATTTCGAGGCCAGTTGTTTGGAGGACATAAGGGAGTGGGTGGAGCTGTTGGAGGCATGTTAGCGAACAAGGAGACGGAGAGGCAGCCCACCCTCCCTCACCTTTGCGCAGGACGGAAGCAGGGCAGGCGGAAGCAGGACAAGGGTGAGTTGGGGGCAAAGCAGGACCTTCCTGCTGTGAGAGGATGGGTGGAGGGCCTTCGAGAAACCCAGACCAACCCGAACCAGGTGACGGCTAGGATAGCTTTGCTGCCAGAGGCCCGGATGGGCTAACCTCCCTCCGGGGCACCTGGCTTGCCTCTCCACGTGGCTCAGTCCCATGCTTACCCATCCTTGACTCAGCTGAGCTCCGAGAAACCCGTCCTGACTGCTGCAGAGGCAGGGAAGGTGGCAGAAGGTGGTCAGCACCTCTTTAGGTGACAGGTACGTCGACCTAGGCTTCAGGTGAGCAGATGCTGCTGGGGACGTGCGGCAGACAGAGCGGAGGCAGTGGGCCACGCGGTGGCCGCTGGGACTGGCTCAGTCTGGAGGTTGGCTCTGCCCCCACCCCCCGAGTGAGGGGCCGGACTTCCCGCTCAGCCCTCACCTGGGGTCCAGGCATAGGTGCTTTTCGCTGCGGCACGGGCTCTGCAGTTGCCAGTGTAAGAGCAGGTTTGTGTCTGTCTGCCAGGGCTTCCCACATGGAAGAGAAGAGCAGTAGTTCTGGGGCTCTCAGTTGGGGGTTACTGGCCCCCTTCTGCCTGCTGTGGTGCCTTGAAGTCCAGGCGAGAGCCTCACTCTTCCTTCCCCTCAGATGTCCAGCGGCATGAGCCAGCTGATTGGGCTGAAGGAGAAGGGCCTGCCTCAGATCGCCCGCCTCCTGCAATCTGGCAACTCCGACGTGGTGCGGTCTGGAGCCTCCCTGCTGAGCAACATGTCCCGCCACCCAGTGCTGCACCGAGTGATGGGTGAGTGCCCACACGGGCCAGACCACCCCTCTGGAAGGCCTTCCGCTTTCCAGAGCCCACTGGACGGTCGGTCGTCCTCTCACCGCTCCCCAGGGGAGCGTCCGGGAGGGGACGCCGGCCCAGGAGAGGCTTGGAGGTAGGAAGGGGCAGTCGCCCGGGGATGGGGAGCAGGTATGTGAGGTCACACCCCTTCCCAAGCCCTGGGTTGGAGCTAGAATCGAGCCCTGAGGGGCCACCTTGCGAGGAGCCCCGCTGAGGGCAGCCCAGGACTGTGGTCTCAAGGGGATGCCCCTGGTCATCTGACCCTGTGCCCTCCACTCCTTTCTCTTCCAGGGAACCAGGTGTTCCCAGAGGTGACCAGGCTCCTCACCAGTCACACTGGCAACACCAGCAACTCGGAAGACATCTTGTCCTCGGCCTGCTACACCGTGAGGAACCTGATGGCCTCCCAGCCGCAGGTGGCCAAGCAGCATTTCTCCAGCAGTATGATCAACAATGTCATCAACCTGTGTCGCAGCAGGT